TTGCTGTGACCTGACTCTTGGCGAGGGTCTTTGCATATTTACCTTCTTTCTTTTCCCAGATTCTGGACTTTATCTGTTGAACGGTTTTGATTTTGATTTTGATCTATTTTGAATGGGGTGACACTGAAAACCAGCATCAACTGAAAAATCGTAAACGAGTTTTGAGCTAAACCCGACGTGTGCATGTCTTTGAGGTACTTTCGTGAATAAATAGCGAATGACCAGAGGCAACGGGGGTTCATGTCACATACAGATGGTTGGATGGCGTGGCAACGTGGGTTGTAAGTTACACTATAAACTTCATTATATACTTGATGGGTGAAGGCCATGAGCAGAAAAACACATCACCTGTTATTGAACCAAATGCACTTTCATTGTTTGATGCACTCACTAGCTCGATGTACTTCAACTTTAGAGCCATTAAGTGCATCACGCATGAAAAGTAAACTGGGTTCAACGACAGGTGATGTGAGAGTTTAACCCTCTCATAAGTGGACTTATCGCATTCACCCATGAAGTATTATATCCCTAATGAGGTGCATTTAATATGACAACACGATCAAGACAAATGACTCATTGAAGATTTTATCCATTTCCACAACAGGAGCTTTGCTACAAGCGTCAGATGATTTCTAAAGCTAAAGCCCTAAACCTGGTACGTTTAAAGAGACTTCTCTTTTTTCTGTTTTAGCTCGTTTAGAGATTTATCGAACCTTCCTAAATTTCGTCTTCTGTTTACAAGAGACGTTGGTCATATAGTCTCTTGTTTACAACCATTCACCAAGTGGGAAAAATTTGCATTCTCCGTTTTGGAATAATATTAGCTTACGCCATTAGATATTTTTGTAATAAGCGGCAATACCAAACTCATAGGTATCGCAATCAAAAGCAGTATAACTTGGATTCCCACCTATATTTAAGAAATAATTTGTTTCGAAAACAAACATTTTATTAACTAAGGATCACCAGTATTTCTATTTGCATGCATGCATTAGTTTGTAAGTGCGAGTTTGATACCAAGTCTAGCTAATATCTGACGCGCCTAATTCTTTACAGTGAGAATGTTTTACTCTCAAATTAGTCGCAAATGGATCGTTAGCCCAGAGTGTGGGGCCACCAGTTTTAAAAGTTCATTTTTCCTTCAAGAAAGGAAAATAAATTTCCATAATTGCAGTCATACACAGCCCACTTTGTAATATTTGAGAAGTACACTGTAAACGTGGTCAAACACGAAAGACCGTGTGTGAACACGTTTCCAAACACCGAAGAGAAAACGGAGAATAAATCTTAAAATTCTATGCTTATTGAGATCGCTTATTCCAACACCGTCATGCACGATCATGATTTCCATTGTTTAAACTTGATGAATTATTAATGAGTTTGAGAGCAATTGTTTTCAAACTGGGTTTAAAGCTCAATAAGGTGATTAAAGTCGATGCCCTTGCGAAATGGTCACGCTAATAAGTTCCATTTTGAAAACGAATTATCGTATGGAACTTGAAGAATCATTTTTTGAAATATTGTTGCTAACATTGCGACTTGAGTTGATGTCTCCGCTTAGGTCGTCTTCGTTATTCTTCCTTGAAAGTACTTCCGCCAATTGAAAGTTTCCGATACAGAAGTGTGGAGATATCAATTCCCCATCAGTATTAACAATTAACGATTATTGCTGTTAATGTCAATGGCGAGCAGATCGATTATTTGCACGCTGAAAGCAAATAGGGACCTTACGCATTTACGACGGCGACGGCAAGGACGACGCCTATTAAAAAATGTGTTTACATTTTACTTTGGAATTTCGCATTTACTTAACTATATTCAGTCTGTTTGTCGGTATTAGAACTTGCCCCTGCTGAATATGCTACAAATGCGTTTAGTTCCAAATAGAAATACGAAAAATTAGCCGTAGTGGGTCCTGTTGTCAAAAAACTTGGAAATTGGTCATTTCACGTTGTTGATTTGCAGAGGACGGCAAAGAAATGTACCAAGAATTATAACGCACGTGCACAGCCATTATTTTGCTCATTAAACCTTCTGTTTGGTGACGTTCTCTTTGCCGTTGTCGTCGTGTTTTGCGTAAAGTCCCTAATAATTGATCTGCGAGACACTGACAAATCACGCTATTTTGCGATAATCGAGATCAACGATTATTTTATAATTCGATCACCAAGTTTATTTCCATATCAAATCACTCTTTGACTGCTCAGGGAAGCAATCTGCCATTTTTCAATAACGTGGGTACTGACAATTGCGCGTGAGTAGAATATTATTTGCGGCAAAAATCATTTAGACGGTACTACGCATGAGGAGACCATTATTTTTTTTTTCGGACATCGTGAAAAGTTTCAGAAGTTGTTCATCGATCATGTACTCGACTAGCTTCCCGCGCCACTAACAACGGTGTGCAAATCGCGTACATGAGCTGTAAAAATTTGCGATATATCTTCGATAAGTCCGCCGCGAAAACTGGTCGACGATTATTGTTTCCTTCCAGGAAAAATGTCAACGATACTGGTAGTGTCAGTGAAATACTGAAAGTTGTAATGTTTACCTCAGCCGTTTATTTTGGATTGTCCAAGGTAACTACTAGGGTGATTTTGCTTACCCCTGAAAAAAATAACCGAATGTGATTGTACCCGCTACTACTTCGTATTTGTTTCTAAATTATCCACTTTATTAGTTTTTTTTAGTTCCTTTCTTTTTGTCTCTGTATAGAACGTATGCAAATGACGTAATGGCAGCCGTATTGGTGTTCCAAAACAAGGAAACGGCGGGTATATTGGTTTACCAAACCAATACAGTGGAAGTTCAACTCTTTTCTTATGTAATCATTTTCTTTTGTTCCAATAAATTTGCATGGCTGCTGGACATGTGAGTGCATACGCTCTATACTATGCACTAATTAACAATTAGACTATGAGCTCGAGATTTCTATGAGGCGATAGTTAATGAGGCCGAAGGCCGAATCAACTATCACCTCATAGAAATCGAGAGGGAATAATCTAATTGTTTTAGTAGAATTCTTACTAAAATTTACTTCAAATAACAGTTTCCAATTATTTCTTGACGTATTATTTAACTTTGCGCCTTGGGGAGCAGGGATGGCTCAGTGGTGAGAGCGCTCGCCTCCCACCAATGTGGCCCGGGTTCGATTCCTGGACCCGGCGTCATATGTGGGTTGAGTTTGTTGTTGG